TGAATCGGTGAAAAAATAAAAAGTTGTTTATTATTCCAATGAAAGATTCGCTTTATGGCTAATAGTGCAATAGTATTTAATTTTAACAAAATGGATAAATTTTCACAGTGAAATCACCGAGTACATACTTCTGTGAGATGAGATGGCTTTTTATATTTTTTTTCATTGTTGTTTCTTCTTCCTCCTCCTCCTCTTCTTCACCGTCCGGTATAGAGGCTCTCCTTCTCGAAGGAAGTAACAGTATCCGAGTGGATGGATTCCGTGCGAGGTGTGCAGGGACCGTGTGGATTGTGTGCAGAATGAACGCAAACTCTGTGAGGGTAATTTGCAACACCGGCAATTTACATAATTAGCAGTTCTCAACTTGCGGCCCTCCACGACCCCCACCACGCACCCGTTCACCCCCCCCCCTCTCGCCCCCTCTCTCCGTCCTTTTTCCTCTTCGGTCTTTTTCCGATATCGGAGTCGCGGATGTCGAGGTGTTGTTGTCGGGAGAGAGGGAGAGAGAGAGAGAAAGAGAGATGGCGTTGTCGCGCCAGCCGAGTGTTCTGATTCGAGTTGAAGGCAGTCCGGTTACTTTTCGGATGATGATGATGATGATGATGATGATGATGATGATGATTATTTGATTGTAATTTGGTGATAATTGGAGATGGTAAGGATGGTTTGGTTAATAAGGATATAATAGGATTGGATTTTAAGTTTGAATAATATAGTTACGATAATTTGTGATGTAAATTAATTTTCTTTGAAAGAATTTTGTTGAAATTAATCTTTGGAAATGGTAAATGCAAAAATTTATTTATATACGCGGCGTATAGACGCTTAATGAGCTTTAGCTGATGATGATTATGAGACGGAGTGTAATTTATTTTCAATTTTGATTATAATATTTATATAATATATCTTTGGTAAAAGCAATGTAGATAGATACTATTCTTTTCTCTCTTTTTTCTTTTTTTTTTTCTTTTTTTTTTTTTTATAGCGATTGTGATAATCTCTCACTTGTTGTAATATGATTTTCAAGTAATGAAAATTGATAATTAAAAAAAATGATTAATAGGCTACAGATATTTAATTAACATTTAATTAAGATAAGATGCGATATATCTCGAGAGAATAAATGACTATGGACTTTGAATGAGATTGATCTTTGAATGAGGATGTTAATTGAAGTTTTCTTGAATATAAGAGTGACTTAATTTAGTTAAGTGGTTTCTATGTACTAGGTAATTATTTCTCTAATTCATGAATAATTGTTCATGCATTCATGTATTCTCTTTTGTTCATAAATAATTCATTGGATCGTTCTTTTATACGTGGATATTTTTTTCTTGTTCCTTTTTTTAATTACTTTTCTCGTTTCTGATTAATTTATTAGTGTTTGTTGAAAGCAATTAGGTAAATGATAAATTGACGATCGTTATGCAAATACATTCCGACGAATATTATCATTTTTAATAAAATCCTCTCGGTACTTGGTTATTATAGAAGGAAACATACTTTAATACCTGGAAAAATTTACCAAGAGCGCATATAAATATCAATTAATAATAATAATAATAATATCTTTAAAACGAGGAGACAATTATTTTTCCAAAGATATCAGATCCTTAAGAAAGAAATCAACCATCCCCAAACTTCATCGATTCAAATAAATCCTAATTACTTCTTTTAACTCGAACGAATCCCAAACCAATCATCCTCAAACACCATCAAACCAAAAACCTGCTCTTCTGATCTCAACAAACATTCCACAAACTTCGTGCAACTTCTTCAAACTCAAATTTCCCTCCAACTAGGAGAAAGAAAAATAGGTAAAGGAAAGATCCTCGACGATAAAAAGGATCGATAATCATCGGTTAATCATCGATTAAAGGACGAATATTAATCAAACGCCTTCGAGAATGGCGACGTTCCAAGTCTTGAAAACGGCGAGATGTCGACAGATAGACACGACGATGAACTACTACGAGATCTATTAATTGGCTATCGACGTTCTCTACCCCTCCCCCCCTCCTTCTCTTAATTATCGACCCTTCGTCAACGTTCCAATTAGCGTTCGGTTCATTATCGCCCGTGTTAACCTCCCACCACTTCTGCTAAGGGGTAATTCTCAATCGGTGGAACGATTAATATCCGGTGCTAATTTCGCGTTTAGCCACTCTGATTGAGCCTCGCGAACACACATCGCCCGTGGGGCGATTAAACGTGTTTCATTTAATGGATGGTAAATGGATAACAGGGAGTGGATGTCGTTAATTCGAGGGGTTTTCTTTTTTTCTTTTTTTTGGAACGAGAGAAATTGGAATTCGACGGTGGAAATATTTCAAGAGTGTTACAACCGTGGTTGGTTTGCCAGTTTATTTAATGGAACTATAATAATAATATTGGAATTTAAAATTACGTGGAAACACGTGGTAAGAGAATTCTTCGTTTCGCAGGAAAATTTTAATACTAGTAAAGATGTTGAAATCGATGAGTATATTTTGTATTATAGTGCAAATTTGAAAGAGGTGAAGATTATTTGAAAAGAGAAAAAGAGAATGATGCCATCAAAGGCCAAAAATTTACAAGCCATTCACTTTAACAAATGAACCATCTTATTGGTTGAAAGAGAAAAATTGCTCGAAAATTCCAACGAAAAAAATAAGAAAGGAAAGTGTTTCATAAAATAACGAAGGCATGGCCGCCATTATATTGTCAACCGATAAGTGCAGGTTAGAGGCTACCGAGCAAGTTCACGAAACTGTTGCGGTGGAGAGGCGGTGATTCCGGCAAAAATAACGACTCTTTGCGATCGTTCCTGCATATCCGTTGTTTCGGTTAATTGCGGGGCAACTCGCGTAATTATTCCTTCTCCCGAAACGGCGATTATAAAGCAATTATCGACAAGGATCGACGCCCGCGTTTCGTACCACCCGCTTCCGTGGAAACGAACGATTTGTCTCTCCCCGTACCTCCTCCTTGGATTATTGAAATTTTGAGGGAGGGCGATAAATCGTTGTTGTGGAAATATTCTTTTTTAAATTTCTTTCGAGAAAGATCGACGAAGAAAAGTATCTTCCCGATTTCAAAACTGAAGATTATCGAAAAAAAAAAAAAAAAAAACATTTAAAAATTTCCAATCTTCAAACAAAATCCCATATCACATCATTCCATAAACGCAATAAAGGCTGTCTGGTTGAAAATGAAACGCACACAATTTGTCGTGAAGAGATGATATAATTTATTTTTCGCTATATTTCGCTTTTAGAACACGAACTCAATCATCCGTATTACCGTACAATCCTACGCCTTTTTTTATTTTTTATTTTTATTTTTTTTTTTTTTTGCACGTCGAGTAAAATCACAATTCTTCTTATGTACAACATTATTTACAAAAACACCGGGACCGGTCGGGCGTGGGGCCCGATCGTTCACCGAGGAATCACACCAGGTCCGTCCAAACGTATATGTGTGTGTATGTTTTGTATATGTTTTGTGTGTACGTGTGTGTGTGTGTGTGTGCGTGCTCCCAATGGCGTCCGATGCACCCGATTCGAATCGCCTCTGTTCACCCCCGGGCGATCGATCGAACGGACGATCCCGATCGATGCGCTCGATCCCGAGGGGATTAGGGAGTAGTACGAGTACGATTAAAAAAAAAAAAAAAAAAAAAAAAAAAAAAAAAAAA